TTGCTTTAGACGTCTCAAAATCTTGGGCAATACAGTGCGCTAGAGAGACGTTATGCGGAACAATAAAAAGATCCTGCTGAACTTCTGTGGCTACGTCGAATCTAGCACTCTTTCTTTCTGCGTAATTTGACATAAATTTATTAAAGCTTGGTGGCCGATCATTTTTGATCTCATGTTGAAGGGTTCGTGCTTCTTCTGTTTCATTTGTGCCAGCATCTGGTGTAAGACGATTTATGTGAACTACTTTTGGTTTACCTTTCGACAACTTCTTAATTCGGTATATTACGTCATTTATTCTCTCTTTAATTTCATACGGACCTTCTACTTCAAACAAGATCACATTCTGTCACTGGCTAACTTGAAGAGTTGTTGGACAAGTTTATAAATGTTGTTCATTCTTAACATCAGGCGGTCGACGTAATCTTCGCTTGCATCATGTTCTTCGGAAGGTCTGTAGCTCTAGGTAGTAAGCAAATAAACTGCACGACCTAACATCAGTCAGGTTGGAGTCTGGCCTGTAGTTTCAGTCACGGCCGAGCGGTAGGCCATTAGGAATAAATGAATTTGCTGGTCTCAATCTCTTTGATCCATCGTTTGGTTCATCCTCTCGACCATTCCATCTGATTGAGGATGCAGGGGTGTTGTTCTGGTCTTATTGACACCAATCAATTTACAAACGTTTTGGAAAAGGGCTGACTCGAAGTTTTACCCTTGGTCGGAGTGGATCTACAAGGGCAAATTAAATCGGCTAAAGAATTTAGCAAGTTACTATTGCTTCAACAAAAGTACTTTGTCACAAGTACCTCTGCAACGGTAGCAGCTTCTTAATTTGGTATTGCATAGACCTCAGTCCATTTCGGTAAATAATCTATGGCTACCATAATGTATTTATTTCCATCATTCGTGTCTAGAAGTGTACCTGCAATGTCGATTGATACTCTTTCCATAGGACTACCAACATTGTACTGTTTCATGGGTGACCTCTTTTTATTAACTAGACCATTACTGGTTGCACACAGTTCACATTTCCGGCACCATCTTCATATATCATCTTTACAGTTCACCCAATAGAACCATTCTCAAACCTTTTGTAGAGTCTTCGTAATACCAAAGTGTCCACCTTATGCACCGCCATACATCTGATGCAATACTTCTGACACTTTACTTTTAGGTACACTCAACGGAAGCTTAGTTTCTGTACCATAATCGTTCTTAAAGGTTTTATACAGATCATATTTTAGCACTAGACAATTCCATAGGCTCCAGTAATACTTGACTTCGGAACGACATGCACTAATGTCTTGCCAAGAAGGTCTTTCACTTCTACGCATCCAAATCAATACTCTTTTTATACATGGATCATCTGCTTGAGTGGCTTGTAGCTGTTGAGGCAGCCATTGATTATTAATGACACCATCTTTTTCAGTACCACAAATCTTTAATTTTAAATAGGCAACATGTTATGTGTGGCACATCATTTATTTGGTATGTCGCTGGAGAATTTTGTTATCAAAATCATATACCTACATATACCAACCTTCATACAAATATAAAGTCGCGGTTTGAAATTACGACGAATATTTCAAAGTGTTTACTAGACTAGATTCATGTACTAAGACTGCATCATCTTAGTTCTTTAAATAAAGCAGAAATGGCAATATAAATATTGCTTTTATTATGGTATTATAAACAAATTTTTCTACTCTCTTACTAGTAAATTGTATATTTCCTACTATTTGGATGCTACGTAAATGCATCATAAGGGCGAGCGCCCACCAAAGTGGCGTGGCAGTGGCAAGTAGCAAGTAGCACGCGTCTAGCATAATGTAACCAATCCAAAAGAATGATTAGAATGAATGACGTCACTGTCATTTTGGTGTAAACTGAATAATTCGTTTTCATTGGTTACATTATACTAGACGCGTGCTACTTGCTACTTGCCACTGCCACGCCACTTTGGTGGGCGCTCGCCCTAACAGATACTGACACGTAATGACTAGCACGTAATAAAAAAAATTACGCTTCAGTTTTATAAAAATGTGTAATATCACATAAGCCTCGTAAGTCAGTTGGTCGAGTTACCATGGAAACGAATTAACAGACGTTATTTTGACAGACTAAAAATTATTAATCTGTCAGTGTAAATATAGTGGTAATTTAATTTTTATTTATATAAACGAAAATAATGGTAGAAAAAGTATAGTACACAACTTGAGTTGTAAGCTTATTACATGCTTGTAAAATTACTGCGCTCGCCGCTACGCGGCACGCGCGCAACTTTTTACTCGCATGTAATAAGCTTCTTACAACTCTCGTTATGTAATATACTATTAACTTCCTGCCCATACGTTTATTTTCAATGGCTGTTTAACTGGAAATGGAATGACTATCTAGATAATCTTCATTATAATAATATCACGTGGCTAAGTGACTAAGCAGACTTTCATGAGGTTCGAGAAGGAAGCAGAGAAGATGGGGCTCCAAATCAATGAAATCAAGACGAAATATATGTATATGAGCCGCAATAACCAAAGCAGAGACAGAATCGGTCTGAACATCACCATCGATGACTTTATCTTTGAGCGCGTTAGAGAATTCAAGTAGCTTGGAACAACAATACCTGAAGACAATAACTAATCACAAGAAAAAAACAACAGGATTCAGGCCGACAACAGATGTCTTTTTGCCCTCCAAAACCTTATAAAATCGAAACAACTAACAAGACGTATGAAGATACAGGTCTATAAAACAATCATACGACCCGTTGTGATGTATGGAAACGAAACGTGGACGATAACAAAGGCAAGCGAAGAGAAACTATGTGTTTGGGAAAGAAAAATCCTAAGGAAGATCTTTGGTCCTGTGGTGGATAAAGGATCAGGACAATATAGGATAAGAACGAACAAAGAGCTCGAAGAACTTTACCCAGACGTCAACATCATAAAAGAAATAAAGTCCAGAAGACTCCAATGAGCAGGACACTTCAGAAGATACTCTGACAAACGAACAGTAAGACTGGTGTGGGAGGAAGTCCCAATTGGAACGAGACCATGCGGATACCCTCGTCTCCGGTGGCGAGATAATGTAGCAGGAGACCTAAGCACTATGGGCGTGGAGAATTGGATGGAGGTTGCATAAGACAGAAAACAGTGGAGGCATGTTGTCGAGTCGGCTAAAACCCACGAAGGGTTGTAACGCCACGGAAAAAGTAAGTAAACAATATTTATATGAAGGTGAAAATACCGTCCCTTTCCTACAAGAAGTTTATTTTTATAAAAATTTAATTTTCAATTCTTTTGAACATTTTGTTGATCCTAAAAAAGTCCGTAGCTGTTTAATCTTGTAAGGGATGTAATGATAAAGATGGTATGGCAGGGGGAGTTGGTCAATGCTCGGAGTATATATGGTTGGAAGGAACAGAAATGGTTGGGGACATAGAACTGTTTAGGGAAAAACTATAATCAAAACTATAACGATTAAGCGTATGATCTTGGTACTCTGTAGTTAAAAAATGGAGAAATGGTTAAAAGGAAAGGTATATAAGAGTATGGTGAGACCTGCGTAAGTATTCGGCGCTAAGATTCCGCTTGTAAAGGAGATCCAGGCAAAGAACATGAAGAAAGCTATTATAAAAATGTTATGGTTGATGTTGGGTACGACTAAAACGGGCAGGATCAGGACCGACTTGATTCTAGAGAAGGCCGGGGTAAACACAGTTTCAAAAGAAATTCCAGAACAAAGGCTGCAATGGTTTGATCACTTAAATACTGTGTAGGACGAAGTATGGAGCTGTTAGAAGGTAATGAAAGGAAAGGAAAGAATACACGACAGATAGAAATGAGTGGTGAAAAAGAGTAAGGAACAGTGACACCTAAAAAAGAAAAGCTGAGGAAAAAGAAGAGGAATGGTATTTTTGACAGGGAGATCCTTTTGCACTGTTGCGCCGCCAATTGCATCTTTAACCCTGTTTGAAGTAGCTAGTGTCGATGCACACTAGCGCAGGGAGACCGGCAGCTTTTTGTTCCCTCCGAAACACGGTGAACGGCTCAATTTAAGAAATAAAAATGCCGTTGTTGGTGTCAAGATCTTGATACTAAGCTACGGTCGTCCACACAGTCATCTTTATTCATTATCTATACCAAGTGTATTTTTTAGGGATAAACTTTGCAATGGACAAAAACTTTGCGTGAAAAAACCAGATTCTTAAGCTATTTATTTAGCACTTGAAGTAGGTTCCAAATTATCATTTTTTATCAGCTACTGATCCCCGTTTTATAAATTTATTTAACTAGCTTTATTACGTATGAGTAATAAAGTAACTTATCTTAATATTAAATATACAAATTTTGCTATTCTTCTTACACACTTTCCATGTTAAAAAAATATTGAAAATGATTTTAAAGCGTTGGGCGATAGAATCCACCATCTCAAATGAATTTAAAAAAATACTTAATTAATATCGCTTTTAAATTCTATCAAAGACAGTTAAAATAATTTCTTAAAATAAAACAGTTCAAATAGCCTTTTGTAAATTTCTTTTTCTTTCAGAATGTGCGGAATACTATCCACCAGCAAAGTTTGGTGTAGCTACAGTAGGTGGCACTAAGTCACTTCCAAAACAATTTCCACATATGGTAGGTATGGTTTAAGTAAACTAAAATTTAATAATTGATATTAGGTTGAAATTTAAAATTTAATATATTCAGATATAGAGAAGACTGTTGACTTCTATCTGTGCGTACTGCATTAAAATAGCATATCTTCTTTTTTATTTATTTTTTTATTTTTTAAACCATATTTGACTTTTGGTCTGTGTGGATCTCTCTTTTGGTCTGTTGTACCGCATTTTAACATCTGGTGCTCTTATAAGCCATCCATTATCATCGTTCAGATGGTATTCTCTAAAAAGATACCAATAGCTTGCCTGTTGTGCTCATTTATTGCCTAAGAAGTTATAGATGCTGCTAATATAAATGCATTTTGTGTGGAGTAACCAGTTTTGAATCTAAATTGAAAGTTTGTGATAATGTTGTATCTGGTTCTAGGTGTTCTACAAGTATTTTCTTTAGGATCCTCTTATAGATCTTTCCTAGAACATTTAGCAGTGAAATTGGTCTGCAGGATTTAGGACTGGTTACTGGCTTCCCTGTTTTATGATTTTTTTGATTTTTATCATGATTTTGCTAGATACATTCCAAGGAGTATTTCAGTTGAAGACATGCATTGAGAGTCTGGGCCAGCAGCGAAACTATGGCTTATGGAACTTGTTTGACGCATCTTTTGTGTATGGTATCTAGGTGAGGAGTGTATTTTTGACTAGGCTACACAGTCTCCTGAGGGCTTCGGTGTCTATACCACTACCTCATGGGAGTTGACCCTTCGGTGGGTATCTGTATTTTTCAGAAGATAGTCGATGCTTCGCTTGGTTACTATACGGAAGTGTTATCTAAAGTTGGGGTTTTCAGAGGCGACGAATGTGGCTTGCTTATTTATAACGAAGGCTACACCAGTTTAATAACAACACCAAGAAATTTAATATGAAAATGGTGTCACATTAAACAAATTTAGTTATATATAGATAATTAAGATTTATGCAGCGTTATCCTATCAAGGATACAATATAGGGAAACAGAGACTTAAAAACAAAAACAAAAGCGGGAATATACTTTATTTAAGTCTGTAATAGGGATGGGAAAAACCTGCCAGTTTTAACCGAAAACCGGTTTTTTTACTTTGCAATATCCGGTTTTATCGATTGTTTTTTTATCCCAGTTATAACCGGTTTTTTTTTAAGTAAAAACCGGTTATTAGGTCTTTTCGATGATTAGGATTAGGTTAAGTAATATTTTGGATCTCAATCATAATTATTAGTCTCAAGTAATTATTCCAAACACAACAATAATTCAAATTTTATTTGAAAGAAAGAAAAAAAAATGGAACAGCCATATTAGTCGAATTAGAGGGAACAAAGTAGGTAGAATAGCTCAAATAAGTCGCCAATTGGAAAAACAGGCACAAGTTGTCCACGAAATAGATAGAATGACATTATTCCCAATAGGGTAGGAGGTGAAAAAATAGCCAGTTTGCGTATATAAAAGGATAAAAAGAAAAAGTTATTTATTTTACTTATACGGAATGGATAGTGGTATAAAACTTTGTTTTTTCATCTGTTTCTAGTACTTCAGCACATAATATTGTACTACAATAATTATAATGTTCACTTTTTGCAAACTACACTTCACTGTGCTAGAAGTCAATTCTGCTGCCATTTTAGTTTGCTAGTTTTGGCTTACTTCAGGTATTTTATTTTCACGGTATCCATAATATCTGGCAAATATTTTCCAATCCACCATCTAGGAAGGTCCCTAGTAGAATATTAGCACAAGTCACAAGTTTTTTTTTTAGTAGATATGATTCTGTTTGTTTTTCAATGTACCTCCAATAAGTTTTGGTTTCATCGTTTTCGCGGTTTTTCTATTGATCGTATTCCTATTGGGGAACCATTTCATTCTACTCTTTTATTTCGTACCCAGTCCTTAATGTTCACCATCTTGCATCTAAGTCATGTATCTTTACTTCTAGGTCTGTCTCATAGTGTCTTAACATCGAGTTTTCAGTAAACATTAATTAAATACATAAAATCGAACTGGTGTAGCTACAGTTCAGGATTAGTACTCCTAAGAATAAACATAGCAAATAGAAAACCACCCTTAGATGTTGAAGATAAAATTTTAAATTCAGTTAACTCTTTTGTATATGTAGGAACCGTTGCAACAACGCATGTTATAGCTTAGGTGATGTTATTAATGATGTATAAAAGTGAAGAGCTTAGGTGATGTATAAGAGTAAAAGCTGCATTTATTTAGCTTAACCCTATCTGGAGGAACATATACATCTCCCTAAATACTAGTCTTTAACTCCAACGTTAAGTATGTTCTGTTGAACACTTGTGAGATAGAGAAATCAGGTATTTATCAATCGTACTCTTAGGCGAATTATGTCTATTTGGTGGCCTTAAATATTTTAAGTACTTTCATGACCGTGTTGAAACTTGATCGCTTACATTAATATTTTGTTTACGTTAAATGTTTTAGGCGCTTCTAGGGTTTGGACCAGAAGAGGATAAACAATGGTTATGTGGTGGTTCGTTGATTAGTTATAATTTTGTCTTAACTGCAGCTCATTGTCTTCGATCAACTGAATTGTAAGTTACTTCGTTTATTTTATTGTTTACGACAGATTTGTTTAAATTTTTGTAACACCGTTATCCAAATCTGTCATAAAAACTGTAAACATAGATATTTGACCACATAGTTTATTAATTTTCTGAAATTATTCGTAACCGCAGTTCTCTTTACATTTGTGTTTTAAGATAAATAGCAGATAAATATAGAGTAGATAAATACTGATTGATTTATCACCACAAACTCGCCTACTGAATAAAATTTTTCTCGCTAATTGGTGTAGAATAGATAATTGGCGTCTAATTGGTGTAGAATAGATAATTGGCGTAGAATGGTTTATATTATTAGAAATCCTTATTATAGTCAAATTTAATATGTATATAGTAATATTATGATAATTGTGGGAATAATGGTAATTATGTAACCTTGAATGCAAACATACTGTGAAATGGCACTAAATGAAGCATAATCTAAACAATGCAAAAAATTAACGTGGAATACAATTCATCTGTTGATCAAATTGACAAAAAGTCCATGTTGTGAGACCGCTTCCGGTGGAAAAATGTTTCTGCTTCGGTTTTTTTTTGCGGATTATTGTTAAAAAATATCCCCTTTAAATAAATCCTTATGCTATTGGGCAAAAATTTTGGGCAGAAAATCTTTAAACAATTTTTTTAAACAAATTCCAAAAATCTCCTTTTTGCCCCGGCGATTTTTTACATTTCTTGTGTCATTTAAAACAAAAAAGTCTCTTGATACTTTTTTAACAAACACTTTTCGAGTTATAAGCGATTTAAATTCTGAAAAATACGAAAATACGCATTTCAAGGCTTGAAAACTTATATTAGAATTATTATTTTTGAAATTGCGAAGTACTCATTTAAAGTTTAAACTTTCACTTTTAAAATTCTGAAAAACAATCTGAGTTTATTACAATTAATACCATTGATGTTTATGTCGCCGCGGCGACCGCGAGTCTCACTGTATGGTGCATCTCTGTTGTTCTTATACATAATATATATTATATACTCCATTTCACGAATATACGACTGTTTTTAGTTCGGTTTAAGGTATCGATTAAAGTGGTCCAATGTGCTGAATTGTACAATAGTAAATTCTCCCCATTTTTAAAATACTGTTAACTATGTTAACAACAAAAGTCATGATATAAATATAGAGTTAATAGTTTATAGAACAGTTGTAATTTAGATTTTGATGTATATAATTACTATCATTGAGATTAGTATTGTAAACAAGTTGGTTTTTGAATGAAGTGATTTAAACAATACTTAAGTGATTAAATAGTGTAATTTATTTAGTCGAATATTAAATTAGTATTTAAAATACAAAAAATACTTACTTATTCTCTTATTCTCCTAATATCTTAAAACTGTCATTAACCATCAGATTCACGGCCATAATCACTATCGTCGCTATCTTCATTCGAAGGGTAAATCCTACCAGGATTAACTGCTTCGATAAATCCTTCACAGATCCACGATTCTTCAATTAAGTCTTCACATTTTTTTACACTTTATTCCCAAATTTCAGGAGTGGTAATATCCAATGCTTGTTGACATGTTTCCAAGACTGCCTCGTCACTGCAACCCTTGTATCCAATATGGTTATTATAATATGTTTTGCATATCCGCCAAATATATTCCAAATATATGTCCAAAGCTATGTATAATTTCGTCTACTATATACATGCTATACATGACTTTGACGTGCATGACTTTTAGCTAACGTTAGTAATTGAGACTTAAAACAGTACTATATTTAAAATTTCCGAATGGTACGCAGCATTATCCAATACTATAACGGATGGTTAATGCAAACTTGGCAACAGTTTCTCTTTCAACTATTTCACAAACATCTCTGTATTCATATTGTCATGGTAATCGGCTGATTTTGATTTTGATAAAAACACAAATTTTCTATTGTCTTCCTTTTTGAACTTAAAGTCAATCTGTCTTAAAACTCTCCAGAGACTTGTTCTGGAAATTTTAAATATATTTCTGTCGTTTAATTCTTGTACCACTGAATCTAAAGAAAAATGTTTTTTTTTGCGCATTTTATATATTGTCTCACGGATTTCAAACTTGCAACCTTCGGGAAGATCTATAGTCTTTGGTTGTCGGCGAGATTTATATTGTGCGACATTTTGTTCACTTTGTCCATTTTTTTTATTTTTGCAAAACCGACTTTAGTTTTATTTAACTAATACATAGTGCATTACATACACGTTTATGTACGGACTGAACTGGTCGCAAAGTGCCCCCGTTGGTTTGCTAAGCAGTAAAATAAGAAAGTACATTAAAAATATAAAAATGTTTACATCTAAAACACGTCTCGGGGCATTTTTGGCTTTAATAAACAAATACACTACACTCTCTCTTAACGGTCACCTCTCTTCACCTCTCTTCACTAAACGGACGGTTTTTAAAACTGAAATTAGTCGGCGATACATAAAACTATATGTATATTGTCATTACTTTTTAATATCTGTATCGACTCGGTATTTTAACTATCAATAGCCGGTATGTTATACCCGTTACTTTTGGAACTTTTAAGAGTAGATCCACTCAAAGCAAATTTAAAACTAACCAAGTGAAATATTAGATTCTTTTTCTGGTTTCTGGACCATTGTTCTGCCAATTTCTTTTTATTTATATTAAAAATAGTATATTTCTTTTTATTACAGTTGTAATACCTAATAAAGTAATAAAATAGTGTAATATCAAAGAAATCCAGTACACTTCTTTGGTGTTTACCAAAGAGGCGTGCCATTTCACCAAAACCCAACCCAAATGTCTGATGAACACATTTATCTTCGTAGACGTCATTGTATTTATTTGTAGGAGCATTTGCGTAAAAATTTTGTTCGGATTAAATTTCACAATAGATTTTGCGTCTATTTGAACATCTATTAACTGAAATAATTTTAGTTTAGATGTGATACTAACTTCAGATCCTTTTTATTGGAATAATAATTAGATATTTCATACTTTTATTTGCACAGTAAAGTATTCGATATCTCAATAATCCAAAACAGTCATAATATTCCTGAAATAACCTATACGTTACGCTATTGACATGTATTGACATCTATTAAAATTTTGTAACAATAGTACGCAATAAATTTTTTAGTACCCAATTTTAAAATCAACTACGTTATTAATAAATTCACTTTTTGAAGTTAATATTATCACACTCTTCTTTTGCCATAACCTTTCTTGCTATGAAAAACTAATATTCCAGAATTTTTCTGAGCCGAGAAATCTGGGGTTTTAGCTACAAATGTTTACACCAGTGTTTAAATTATTTTGAAATTGAATAAGTTATTATTATGGTTAATATGCTTACAGTGGTGAAGTAAAATGGGTCCATCTAGGTGATCTGGATATTTCCACAGATAAAGACGACGCAGAACCTCAGGATTTTAAAATAATTAGAGCAATTGCGCATCCAAACTACACATTTTCCTTAAAATATCATGATATTGCTCTACTTCAATTGGATCGAAATGCTGTTTTGACGGAATATGTAGGAATAGCCTGTTTACATACGGTGAAGAACATAGATGGTAGGTAATGTTTTTTTTTATATAACCCTTCCATGAATATTTTTGTGTTTTTTTTTTGTTTAGAATATTTTATTTTTTGATCGTAACAGATATTTTGTTGTAGAGTTTTGTTTAAAAGATTGTATTAACGTTTTCTCATAGCCCTTTTTAAATGTTGGTTTTTTAAAATTTTTTTATTGCAATCATTTATAAACTCTATTACTCAGCTTCTATGAATTACCCAATGGTTACGATTCAACAAAAAAGTTTGTTAAAACAAAAAAATTGTAGTTTCTCAAAAGATAATTGTCTAAATAATTTCTTAATTAATTTATTGGTAATTATCATTTCTAAATTAATAATATCTAAGGTATTCTTACAGGGTTAACCAAACTTATCACTTGTATAATTTTAATTTTGTTTGTCTAAATGTTATCATTTATTTTTTCTTTTCTTCTTTTGTGACAGCGGCATGACAACAGAATTTAGATAATAGTGAGAGCTAAAGTCCTTTTACCCTATGACGCCGATATACAATTAAGATATGATCAGCGGGGCGTTAATATTTACTTACGTTCCCTTGAAAAGTAAAAATATTTGAGTTCCTGTATTTTATGTTCAGTAATAATATTGGATTTTAGTGTATTAAAGGCAAATATAATGAATATAATATGTATATACAGGGCGTGTTACAAGAAGTTGGATGGAATATTTCGAATACTCGAAATTATTTGTCAACATTAAATGTTTATCAAGGTCTATATAAATCTCTATTTTACGTGGAGTGAAAATTTTACGAATAATTTTGCATGCAATACAATTGGAAAATACCTGCCAAGTTGATGGTATCTCCAAATTTGAATAAAATACACTCAAGACTTTACTTTCTACAGACACTATATTAAATATAACCTTGAAACAAATTGGCACTGAATCACTTCCTAGTTTTCAGCAAAACAAAAGATTTAAATACATGTAGTTCTGTAATTAATGCCAAAGCTATTAAGAGTATGCAGTCAAGTAACTAGACCGAAGGTACTTTATAGTTTAACTAAATCACACCACAAAATCCGAATTAAATTCCCTAAACACTTTTCTGTTACTTCTTTTTAGCAAACGATTTGTCCTATTCACTATTTAATATTTCACTATCACTATTTAATATTTCACTAGTTCATCACTATTTTACTATTTAATATTTCAGTCGTCACTATCTGAAATGTCTATCCGAATAATTAGAGGTCGGACCTCATCTATAACTCGCTCGATTTGAAAAGACGGAACAATTATGTCTTCCGTATGTCTAATACAATTTTGCCATTTTTCTGCTTTTATTTATTCTATCGTTTCTTTCCATAAACTAAGAACTCTAGCGTTATCTGTTGTTTTGGATGCATGTTTATCATAAAAATTTTTGGCTATACCCCAAACTAACTCAATTGCATTATAGTGGCAATGATGGGGTGAAAGTCGAAGAATTTTAAGGCCATATTTAAGAACCATTTGGTCAGTACCAAATTTCTTTTGAATTTTGTGCTCCCCACACCCTTGAAGTAAATCGACTTTTAAAAATATGTCACTTTGATAAATTTTCTTGTCTGTCAACCAAAACTTTATTTCTTCTTTTGTCCAGCTGCTTGAAGGAAATCTCTCTTTTACTATTAAGTGGTAGGATACATTATCCAACACTATTATTGATGGTTTCTCCAATTTTTTTAACAAACTTTCTTTAAACCATTCTTCAAAAATATTTGCATCCATATTTCCATGATAATCACTTGTATTCTTTGTGGACAAAAAATTAAACTAGCCAGAAATAAAACGCTCATCATATCCATCATAAGGTTTATTGTAGGGTTAATCATTACCGAAAAGACTAAGAGAATAACATTATTTGTCTTTTTATATCAAAAAGCTAACTGTTTCAGTACCCTTCACAAACTTGTTAAACTAAATCACACAGTCCCTTGTATTTAATTTTTTGTAACACAGCGCTAATTGTTACATGTTCTTTGTTACATATTATATATAAAAGTTTTAATTGCAAGTTTAATTGACTGGTGCAAATCTAAAATTTTTGGATGTCGACGATTTCTCTTGCTTACTTTATTAATTTCATTCTCACTCATGTTATTAATTCTTCGAAATGTCCTCTCCGAGATACCACAAGCATCGCATGTGCGTTTCTGAACTGCCATAACAGATGTCAATGGACCCATATTATTTTTTCCAAATTGAAATAACTTTCAATTTGGAACTTTGGTTTGGAACTAACTCAATGGCAATCTAGACTTTTAAAACTAAACGCCGTTCTTCTGGAGATAACACTCTACATTTAGACTGTATTTTAATCACTAATTTTACTTTAAAGTACCGCTTTACTACACTAATACAACAAAATAGGTACTTATATACAACTACTACAGCCTAAAAAGGACGAGGGTTCTACAACATACGAAACAATCGAACACAAATTATTTTACAGTCAATGCTAAATAAGCATAAACACTTGGTAAATTATTTAATAACACCATCACAACCCACGACCATCAATTAATTTTTAACGATAAACAGAAGTGTAATATGATGACAAATTTGAATTTGAGCTACTTTGTCTATAACAGTGTCGTTAACAGAAAGATATTTTCAAATAGCGTAAATTATTTTACAATGATCGTGTGGATTTAAGAAATACATTTCTAAAAAAATTTTTAAAGTGTGTATAAAGGAGATTACAATTATTATAACACATAGTAACCCTTATTTCAAATAATATGTTCTTGTAAAGTTAAAGCTTTGATTACTGGGTAAACCTACATTATACGATACGCCAGAAGAAATTTAAAAAAAATTAGCATTTATTAAATTCACTGTTTAAATAAATATTGTGTGCTAACACTATTGTGTGTACTATTTCAATAAAATATTAAAACCAATAAACGATAACTTGTTAAGCAGTGTTCATTGAAACAACAGAGCAGTAATATGTTACTCATAAAGGTCCTGTAAAATATCTCGCTGCTTATCTGGTCTGCTAGTAATAAAGTTACCAGCATTTAATTGCAAAGCCGTCTTCTTAGGTGAAAAATACTTTATAGAACTATTTGGAGGTTATGAGATATTTTAGACTTAATAATTATTATATAAAGGATCCGAGTTGACATAAGAGGGATTATTTTTGAAGACTTTGATGTGTCAAGTTGACGTTTTTCGCTAAAACTTAGTTGTATTGGAGTTTTAGCTGAGTAAGCATTTTGATTTTAATTCATATTGCTTGATTGCATTTTCACATTCCGTATTCCACCATGGTAGAGGACTGTGTTTCCTTAATATTTTAGTTTTTCCTATATGTATTTCTGCCGCGTATGTAAAAATATTCTTTATCAGTGTTTTCAAAACTAGATTTTTGTGATACTATGTCTGTTTCTATGGGATCAGCGTACTTGTCCCAATTAATGTTTTTCAGGTTCCATTTTAGGACTGGTTGGTATTCAGAGATAGTGTCATAAGAAAATACAGAAATTTTTATTGGGAAGTGGCCCTTCCCATATAAAAAGTGTAGGGGATCCCAGCTAAGAGCCATTGAAAGAGTTAGGTCACAAATCGATAGATCGATTGCCAATATTACACCAGTATGTACATTAAATTTGGTTGGTATTCAATCATTGAGAATATTTAAATTTTCTTCAGTTAACAAGTCTTCGATTAGTCTGCTTTTGATATTAAAATTTGTTAAGCCCCACATTGGGTTTTGACTACTGAAATCTCCTACTATTAGCCTGGGCATAGGTATTTGTGAAATGAGTGCTTTTAAGTCGGTTAAGGTGAAAAGTGGGTTTGGGCAAGTATAGATGCAATATACATTAATGCATTGGAAAGCTTTAACTGAGACGGCTACAGCGTTGAAGTCTGTTTTTAGAGTAATCTTTTGTGATTTAAGAGTATTTTTAACATAAATGGCCACACCACCACTTGATTTTTCCTGAAAATGTAGAAATGAAATGAAAATGTGTGTTGCAGAAGATCCAGAAACCAGTACAAGGCTTGTTTCTGCGGTCACTGGTATAAGCAAATCTACGGTGTCAAGAATAATATGGACCGGATAGGACATCTATATCCGTATCATTTTACTCCATTACTATCCGTATCCAGTCTATAATAGGGCGGCATTTAGACGATTTAATGTTATATAAAAAAAAATTATTTACCGATGAAGCCACATATTCTAAAAGCGGTGTGTGTAGCTGGCGCAATAGCCATGCCTATGCGTCAGAAAAACCTCGTGCATTTCGGGAACATCAATTTCAAAATAAGTTTTATATATTATAAATATCTGGTATGACATATTTGGGGATTGTATGGTAGGACCATTCGAATTACCAACTAGGCTTGACGAAGTAACTATCTAAATTTTTTGTGGGAAGATTTACCAACTCTTTTAGAAGACATACCTCTAAATTTAAGACGTAACTCTTGGTACATGCATGATGGTGCATAACCACCTTATAACCTAGAAATCAGAAATTATCTAGATGAAATTATTTATTCTCAAAGGTGGATTGCTAGAGGTAGTGCATACCCATGACCAGCACGCAGTCCCGAACTAAATCCCCTAGACTTTAACTTGTAGGGCTACCCAAAGTCGCTTGTTTATAAAGAAAAAATAAATAACCGTCAATAATTATGACAAAATATTGTAGAGAGAGTTAACGTAATTATGGCTCAAATAATCTCATTATTTAAAATAAGACAAAACGTTCACAAAAGATTTAGATTATGTAGTTTATCTAATGGTGAACATTTTAAACATTGTAATTTTTTGTTTCGTTTTGAATTATTCACTCTGTCAATTGTTTTATATGTACTTTATTGTTTAATTTAATATAATTTCTATTTTTTTTAAATGTGTTACTGTGTAAAAGGTTTAATAAAAATAATTGTTTTAATGCCTTTTTTGCAAAAAATATCTACTACTAATACAATCCCCCACTTACTGAAAAAGGGCTTCGTTTGGATGAGTT